AAGAATTTTAAAGGAAAAGCACCGGCGTTGGTGAGGAGTATTTTTCCATGGTGAACGATGTAATGTCTTTCGGTATAATCCTCTATTTAGAAAGCTAGATGCCTTAAAGCAGTCACTGGCACTGCCAGTCGTGTCTTACATAACCACCTCTCATGAGAAATATGTGGGTTGTGAATGTTTTAAATATACCATGTTCTCCTATAACACCCAGAACTGGCTTACACTGTCATGCAGTAATACGTTAGGTGTTTTAGAGCAGTGGTTCTCAAATTTAAGGGAAGCATAGCCTGGAGAGTTATTAAAAATCAGAGGTGGGGACTCTATACCCATAGATTCTGATTCAGTGTGTGTGTGTGTGTGTGTGTATGTGTGTGTGTGTGTATGTGTTCTGTTTTGTAGCTATGTATTTTTTTGTGGTGGAGGGTAGTTTGTCATTTAACAAGCAACCCAGGTGATTCGGATGTGGGTGGCCAATAGAGGTTAAAGAGAAATATCACATCTAGAACCTATAAAAAAATTACAATTCTATGGTCAACAAGAGTAATATTTCTATTTATAAAAATTTGAAAATAATTAATCACTCCAGGAAAAATAAGAGTCTGCTTGTTATACATTTGCCACAGGTTATTTTGTTATATCCTGTAGAGTAATCAGAGTGTGTGGTATCATTTTGACTTTGCTGATAAGGAACTTAATGCCGTTTAAATGATATAAAGCTAGTTGGGACACGTCGCTTGAGTTTTAAACAGCCAAATAAGATGGCATCTCCTCAGACACTCCTAAAGTGCAAAGCTCTGAGAAATGATGTGAAGGAAATAAAGCATATTTCCTGATCCAGTTTTAAGTCAAGGTCTCCTCATCTCCCTAATTCAAAGCTCTACTTCAGCAGACAACTTTGTCGTTCACCTTCAAGCACTGGCTTTGGGAACCCAATATGGAAAAGCTTGTCACCTATAGTTTTGCTCTTAGCAGAAAGAAAAACAAATGCTCCCCTATTACAGGTAAACATCATCACACATTTTTCCCCAGCTGAGAACTTTGGTGTTATCCCAAGGATAGACATAATTTGAGTTTTTAATTCACTTTAGACCTGGCTTAGGACTAGAAAAAAATGGAAAAACAGGGTATTCCTTAAAATCCCACAAATGTTGCCTATTTTCAGGAGAAAAAGTAAACAGATGACTTTTTTTTTTTAAATTTCAGTAACTTTCCCTGGGACTTCCTGGCTCCTTGTCTGGTTAGGTTTCACCCACCATACCTTGAGGTGCTTTAGGGAAGATAGAGACTCTGACAGTGGAAAATCACTCTTCTTTTATAGCCTTCCTTCCCTCTGCCTTCAGGGAAAACCTGCCTTCCCCCTCGTGAGAAAAACTCCAAATACAATGAATGAGACAAAGAAATATTTAATCAAATTAGCTTAGGAAACCCCAGCAGAAACAATGCTTCTTTTCAGCAGTTGATGATGTTATGAATAGACAACGTCTGGTGTGTTAGTCTGTCTCCGGCTCGGGGGTGAGAAATGCCCTTTGCCATCAGACACTAGCTTCATTCTAGAGCTCAAAGGAACCATATTTATTTGCCAAAGACATACTGCTTCATAAGCTACAAAAATGATTTATAAAAGTAACTAGAAACATTCTTAAAATAATGAACATGATGATGGTGGTGGTGATGATAAAGCAGTCTTTTTTCCTCCCTCCTAAGCAATCACTTAGCTCAGCTGCTATCAACAAAATATCACAGACTGGGTGACTTATCAGTAACAGATTCATTTCTCACATTACTGGAGGCTGGAAGTCTGATATTAGGATTCTAGCAAAGGCCCTCTTCCAGGCTGCAGACATCCAACTTCTCCTTGTATCTTTGCATGGCGGAAAATGAGTGAGCTAGTCCCTGGTCTCTTCTTGTCAGACCACTAACCCCCTTTATGACCTAATTACTCCTGACGATTCTACCTCCAAATACACCACCTTGGGGATAGGACCTCAATATATGATTTTAAAGGACACAAAAATGTATTCCATAACATCAACCTAGAACCACAGGGATGAACCTGGCGTGGGCATATTTTCAACAGTTCCCCAAAGAAGTCAACTCTTCTTTCTGATTACACCTGGGCCCAGTCTTCCCCCCCCCCCCCCCTTTTTTTTTCCCCCTGAGAAAGCAGAAAATTAGACTTCAGGCTAGCTTTAGCCACTCCACCCATTTGATTTTTGAAGTATAAAAAATGTTTTTAGCCTTGACTGGTCATGTCTGGGTTGCAGGCTCAAACCCAGGAGGCAGCCAATCCATGTTTCTTTTTCTCTCATTGATGTTTCTCTCTCTCTCTTTCTCTCTCTCTCTCTCTCTCTCTCTCTCTCTCTCTCTCTCTCTCTCTCTCTCTTTCTCTCTTTAAAAAAATCAATTAAAAAATCTTAATATTTTTTTTTAATATTTCTCTACCACTTTTCTTTTTTTAAAATATATTCTATTGATTTTTTTTACAGAGAGGAAGAGAGAGGGATAGAGAGATATAGAAACATTGATGAGAGAGAATCATCGACCAGCTGCCTCTTGCACACCCCCTACTGGGGATGTGCCTGCAACCAAGGGTCATGCCCTTGACCGGAATCGAACCTGGGACCTTTCAGTCCGCAGGCCGACACTCTATCCACTGAGCCAAACCGGTTTCGGCTTCTCTACCACTTTTCAAAGAATAAACAAACTATTGGGTATCAGATACCAAGTGAAATACTCCTAAAGTTGGTTCTGAGGTTATTTTCTGAAACCCTGTCCCCAATCTGAACTTTTCCAGAGAAAGACTGCAGATAATAAAGGGCTCTTTAAAAACAGACAGTGGATTACCGACTTAGAAACCCCATGACACGGAGACTACATTAATCATCTCATTCAATGACAGCCTCACTCTCAGCCAGTCATGTTTGATTTCAAACAGCATCTGCCTCAGGAAAACAAACCAACCAACAAAAAAGTTAAATGACATGATATAAGTAAAAAATTAAATGTTTTTATACTGAAATGACAGGTGATTTAATGTACAATTTCTTTGCTTTTGGATGGTAGAAATAGCTCATTAAATGTATTCAAAACGTCTCCAACTATGGAAATTTCACTATTAAGACTAGCCTTCAAACCACTCAGACCAGCATACAACTTGGATAGTGAAAATGTGGCATTTTAATGACTGCATGGCAGATGTGGTCCCTACACTTTGAAAGTCAGCCTCTTGATGGGAGCGAGGATCAGCCTAAGAGTGTCTCTCTGGTTTGGCACTGGGAGCAGCTTTTAAAGGACCTGGCTTTATTAGCCAGTCACATATCAACTGAGTCCATCCTGTCAGCTGTCGCTGTCTTCTAATTTAGAAAACTACCTACAGCAATCAGCTGCAGTCCCTTTTATTGTCCTGCAAGTAAAATTCCCAAATAAAATATTCATCAGACCTCACCCACCCTTAACTAGAAGGGAGGGAACCCAAAGCAGATATCTAGACACTGACAACTTACCTGACTATCATTGTTGTAAATACTTTTCTTGACTTGCTTTTTGGGGACAAACCACGTTGTATAAAAATATAATTGTTTTCCTTAAATGTACACAAAGTCTGTTTGCTGGGAAATGCTCCTTTTGCTATACAACAGTCTCCTTGATCCATTCACTGCTCTGTAATTTCCTCTGTCACTTGGATTTGAAAAAGAATGTATATGTGTTTGTGTTTGTTCTTTACAGAAAGCAAGGATGCATTAGGAATACAGGAGCCCACTCCAGTGGGAAATGTCTGAACCTCTGAACATCCTCTCACAAAGGCAGCCCGCTGGGCACCCTGCGGTGCATCAGCCGATTGATTTACCAATTGAAAGAGACAAGCAATGCCATCTTTAGATTATTTTACATGAAACAGCTGTTGGATGTATACCTGGACTGGGGCAGACCCAGCAGTTTTGGTTCATTACTGCAGAGTAAGCGAGGCAAAGATTATAGCAGCCAGGTGTGCCATGCACAGGCCTGCCCCTAAAATACGTATTCCTGAGCCAGGAACACCAGTGGGTACAGAGGAAGCCCCTGACCCACAGTCCTTTTCCTCCTACCCTTGGTCCTGCCCTACAGCACCAGCATCCTCAGGCAAAGGTGCGTGCACCCAGTGTTAGCATCCAAGGGGCTCAGTGCACACACTCTGCAAACACTAGTAGCAGCCCCTGGGCCCAGGGGCGTTCACACTGGCCTGGATCTGGGGATCGAACCAGATAGGTGTGGGAAGTGGGCTTTGGTTATTTGGGAAAGAAACTCCGAGTCCTAAGGAAATAGATTAGAAGTGGGAGTGTTGGCTCTGGGCCTGGAGAAGGTTTAGAACCTGGGATTGTCAAGCTTCTCTCCAGACCCCATACTGTGGGATTCTAAGATTACTGATGGCTCAATCTCCAACACTGGACAATGAAAATAAATAGAAAATAATATGTGAAAAAAAAGGAAACAAGTGTAAAAATCTTCTATCTTAGCCTCTTTAGTTCAAGAGATAAATAATGAAATATTCTGACTAATTAATGATCTTGTTAATAGAGATATTAGATTTATCTTTCACAGGTGACTATTTATTAACTAAGCAGAGTCTAAATGTACACTGAACATCAAAACAAAAATCGACATATTCATTGGATTATGAGCAACACCAAGTATCTCTAGTTTTCCAAGAGCCATGAATTGTACACATCAGAATTGTGTGTAATTCACACAGAATTCATTACAGAAATGTGGACATGCTGGGTAGGTCAGAGGATTTAGGTTGATAATGTTCACAACAGTTAAAATTTCAAATGCCATTTCCGTGCACTGGACAACCTCTTCCAGGTGCTTTGATTTTTTTCTCCTCCTGATACATTTCTATGGCAGGAGGCAACACTGACTCTCCTGAAGTTCATCATTGTCATGAGACACAGAAAGCCCACACACAGAAAAGGATCATTTCACGAGACACAGGAAGTCCACTCACAGTTAGCAGCACTGACCTGTCCTTTCATATCGGGAGCAATAGGAATGGTGGGCCAGATGGTTGAGTAGATGCCAAAAAACACCAGCCAGATCAGCATGCTCCCCCAGACAGCCAGGTGACTGAACTGCAGAAGAAAACACACACTCAGGCAGGGCTGCCCCACTGGCATGGGAGAGCCACCCGACTCCACCAGCTGCACAGACTCTGTGTCCAAGCCAGCCTTCCTTATGGGAAGAATCTGACAACTCTGGAGTCATTGGAGAATTCAAGCTCCTATTTCCTTGTCTCCAAAAGACTAACAATGAGTTCAAGAGACTAGTGGCTCCAAACTACCCTGAAGACGAAGGTGATTTGGCCTCCACAGCTAATCTTCCTCTACATCCACCCATCGTATTACAATAGAAGGCCTGTCTCATTCCTCACCAGCTGCTCCAACATGGAGCTATATAAAACAAGGTCTCATTAGTTTAGTAACAGAACACTGAATATACAAAACAATAAGTATGTGTTTGTGTTTGCTTATCATTTTGTGATATTATTCTTTTCATTTTCCAAATACTGTAACCTTAAAAAAAAATCTGGAATGGATATCACATCTTATGATGCCCCTTTAACCATCTACTGAGTTGTGAATTATTTGTTATTTGTCCTCTTAATATCATGATAGTCAATGGATACATGGAACAGACTGACAGGTGTCAGAAGTGAGGGTGGGGGGAGGGGACTGGATGAAAAAAGGTGGAGGGATTAAGCAAAAAACATATATATGAAACACAGACACGGGTAACACTGTGTTGATAGCCAGAGGGAAAAGGAAGCGGTGAGGGTAGGTGCAGGTGGGCAAAGCAGGGATAAATGGGAATGGAAAGAAACTTTGCTCGGGGCAGTGGGTGCATCACACAGCATGCTGATCCTGTTCTGCTGAGTTACACATTTGAAACCTGTGTGATTTTGTGAACCAATGTCACCCCAATAAACACTTCTTACTACCTTCTCCTTTAAAGTCTCAGGCTAACCCACCACCCCTCTCACCTGGATTAACTGCCATTGTTTCTTAAGAGATCCCCTGTTTCCACATTAATCTCCCACCCCTTCCCCATTATCTCAGCACAGAGTTAGGAGCCTGTTTAAACAGCAGTGACAGACAATCCTGAGACTAATGGTATAATGTCCAAACACGGGAAATAAACAGAATGTCTGAAATGGGATCTAATTAAACAAGTGATGGAATATTGGAAAGATTTCATACTCTAATAATGAACATATACTACAAAAGATATAAAATATTTGTAATTTATTTTTAAGTGAAAAAGATGACAAAGCTCTATGTTCTGTAATATTGTACATTATCTTTTAAAACACATAGAACAAAGTCTAGAAAGTCATATGGCAAAGTGGTCATATATCTCTTGGTAGTAAAGTTACAGAAATTAAAATTCTCCTTTTTGGCAAATGTGCCCTGATAAAATCAAACCACATTTTTACATGCAAAATAAAATAATACAGTTGGACATTGCTTACTGTTTTTCCAAGGCTTAAAAAGAGTATCATACCAGGAACAATATCTAGAGTAAATAGAGAAATAATTCTAGAGAAAACTTACTTTAGTCCAAGCTGTAGTCTCCAAACCAGCTTTCAGACAAACAGTGACAACAACATACTGTGAAAGAAAGGCATTTGGGAGACGGTGTTACCTTCGTGCCTTCCAGGAGGCATTCCAAGTACCCTCCTGGAGGCAGTTCCTCCGAGGCAGCTGCACTGGGCAAGTGCCATCTAGGTGCTAATCCTCCAGGGGCTCCTTTTAGGGAATGCAGACAGATTTACTTCAAGAAAAGCCCTCATGTTAATGGTTGTTGTCTCACAAGTAATAGTTAATTTTGCTCTTTATTTAACTTGGAAGAATTGGGAAAAATCAGCTTCTTCACTGTCCCTCCCTCCCCTTGTTCCCTTCCCCCCACCCCTCACACAGGTAGATCTGGAATGGTCATTTAAAGAATGGGGAAATTTATTCATCATTGTCCAGAAACTGTGACCCTGCTTAATCTTCACCAGAAAATGAGGTCAGCATTTCACAACCATTCTGAGCTTTAAGGACTCTAAAATATATAGTTTAAACATCTGAAATATATGATAATGAGAACAGCTTTATATAAAGGGTTTTGAGAAGCAGAGTCCACACCTGTGCTATTTAAGAATGGCTCAGTACACAGAGAAATAAACTTACCGTGTAAACAATATTTCCAACAAATAAATAGTCTGTGGCATGACCGTTGGCCAACGCAGTGTCTGAAAAACAAAGAAGTTATTACTAACGTCCGGAGGACAGCACTGCAGTCTGTTTTATTCAGAATGTAAAAGCAAAACTTTAGAAATATTTGTCAACATATAAAGGAATTTCCAAAATTATGTCTGTGATTCTGAATTATTTTCTCCAAATGAAGCAAACAAAATAGAATTGTCTAATTCAAGTCAGCTAGCCTAATGTGAAAATGCTGTTTTTTTTATTCAGAGGAATCAAAGCCTATTTTAAGATTGGGAATGGTTTCTTTGAATGACACAGACGATGGCCTATCTCCTTTTATTTTGTTTTATGCTCAAAGTTAGACCTGTGGCTTACTGGCCAAGTATATAGAAGTTTTGTGTTCAAGTTTTCAACCCACACATAATTGGGCTCAGGGATTTACCTATCTGCTTGTTGAAGAATCCTATTAAAGAATTAAAATCTTCTTAGTTTTCTAAAACACTATAATAATCAAGTGTAGTCACAGGTAGAATCTGGTAATCCTGGAACCCTGCACCTAGCCAGGGCATGCCCTTCTTCCTAATTCTAGAGTAGGGAACATAAGGGTTATCCTAATAGAGGAGAGAGAGAAAAAGAGAGAGAGGGAGAGAGAGAGAGAGAGAGAGGAGATGAGCACAGAATTTAAAAGAAGGTGGTAAAGAGAGACTAGAAGCTTAGGTAGGATTTCATGAAAAGGGAAGAAAGAGAACCCTAGCCTATTGGGCTCAGTGGATAGAGAATCAACTCATGGACTGAAGGATGCCAGGTTTAATTCGGGTCAAGGGCACCTACTCCAGTTTTGGGCTCAACCCTGGCCTGACAGGGCCACTTGTAGGAGGCAACCAATCAATGCATTTATCTCACATTATCTCTCTCTGTCTCTCCCCCTCACTTCCATTCTCTCTAAAAATCAATGAAAAATATCCTTGAGTGAGGATTAAAAATAAAAGAGAAGGAAAAGGGTCAATAAATAAGGGAGAGGCTAAATTAACCAAGAAGGTAACAAGTCAATGTATTACCAAACAGCTATTCAAAACTGTGGGGGTATACTTTTTAGTAACTGGCCCTAAGATTGTTTTAATAATAAATGTGACATTTTATTTTAATTAATTTATTTTTTAAATGTATTTTTATTGACTTAGAGAGAAAGGGAGAGGAAAAGATAGAAACATCAATGATGATAGAGAATCTTTGATGGGCTGCCTCCTGCACACCCCCTACTGGGGATTGAGCCATAACCAGGCATATACCATTGACTGGAATTGAACCCAGAACCCTTCAGTCCATAGGCTGATCCTTTATCCATTGAGCCAAACCAGCAAGGCTAAATGTGACATTTTAAAAGCATGCCTCAATAAAGAAACACTTGAAGTTAGATAGGAGAACATTTATTTGATTCTAATGTAGATTATAGCCTTGAAAGAGGTAACATTATTCTTTCTTTATACAAAAAATATTTATTTGAAGTTTACTTTATGCCAGATACTATTATGAGAACTGGGAAACAAGGTCCCTGCCTTCAAGTAGCTCACACTATAGTGAGGGAGCCAGAACATAAACACAAATACATGTGCAATAAAATGTCAGGTATAATCTATAGATATAAAAGCCTAAGCAACTGAATGACCGAATGATCAAACTACTGGTTGATTGGTTGCTATGATGCGCACTGACCACCAGGGGACAGATGCTCAATGCAGGAGCTGCCCCTGGTGGTCAGTGTGCTCCCACAGCCAATCTCCCATGGCTGGCCAACCTCCCTTGGTGCCTTCCTCCCGGCCCCAGCCAGCTGTTCCCTCACCCCCAATTGGCCCTGATCACCAGCCAGGCCAAGGGACCCCAACCTTGCATGAATTTGTGCACTGGGCCTCTAGTAAGTTCTAAAAGAAATATAAGGCAGGATAATGGAACAGAGCGTGACAAAGGCTGCTCTTTTAGATAAGAAATTCAAGAAAAATCTTTTTGAGAAGGTAACATTTGAGCAGATCTGAGCAGTATGAAGGGGTGCGTTAAATGAATATCTAAAAGGAGAGCTTCCAAGCAGAGAGAAATTGCAGCAGTCTGAATATAGACACATAGATGAGCTCAAAGACCATCACAAAGGCCAGTTTGGCTGGTGAAACTCGGAAATACTTAGAAGGGGCAAATTAATGTAGGCCATGGCAAGGAGTTGAGGTTTTATCATTAACTAGAGGCCCAGTGCATGAATTCATGCACAGGTGGGGTCCCGAAGGGGGTGGGGAGGCCAGGATGCAATCAGCCTCTGGGCGGTTGTTGGAAGCCACTTGGTGGCTACTTTTATATCCTTCCTTCTTTGTGGAGCATCTAGGGAGGGAAAGCAGCCACGGTGCCCACGGCCAACTTTCAAGAGGCCGGCAGCACTGTTGGAATTGTGCTGATGGTACTAGTTCGTCAGTGCCTGGCCCGTTCTCCGGAGATTGGACCTGCAGGACTACTGAGAGAGTGAGTGGCTGCCACCAGGCTGGTGGGCCACTGGGACAGGTTGGTCAGCTGAGTGGCACTCTGCTGTGGGAGCACACTAACCACCAGAGGGAAGCTCCTGCTTTGAGTGTCTTCCCCCTGGTGGTCAGTGTGTGCCATAACGACCAGTCATTCCAGTCATTTGGTTGTAAAGGTCACTTAGGCTTTTATATATGAAGATTGTGATAGGAAACCACTGGAGGATTCCGAGCAGAGAGTAAACTGGTATGAGTAATGTTCTTAAAGAAATAGTATAGCTTTTATGGCAGAATAGAGCTTAAACTACCCAAACTGGAGTAACAATAAGTGCAATGCTGGTGTGGAAATTATTGTAGCAATCTTCTCAAGAGGGTGGCACTGCTAGTGTGTAGGATGTGCCCAGTATGGTAGTCACTGGCTACTATAGTTGTTTATATTTCAATTAATTTAAAAATCCCTCAATGCTTGGTGGCCTTCAGAAGGGCAAACTCTTTGATTACCAACAGGACTGATGGCTCACTTAGGAAGAGACAGCCTCCCTGGAGACCCTGAAGACCACTGAATACTCTGGGCAGTGTGGCATGCGCAGAAGGAAGATGTGGGGAAACTAAAGGATACTTCCCAAATGTAGCTTCTAAAGTTTTATTATGCATTAATTTCTAACTTGTCATGATAGCAAAGTGCTACTGGCATTAAATAAAATGTTGACCTTGAGGTTACTTGAATACACTTAAAGTAACTGTTAATGAAGACAGGATTAACCTAACTTTTTAGTTCATCATTTCAGAAGGATAACTCATCATTACATTTTAATGTTCTGCTTAGGAAAGAGTGTCTCCTGCCCCAGTCAAAATAATATCATCTGGAAATAATTTATTCCTTGGAAGAAAAACTCCCAAACCAACTTGAGGTTTGGGACATGCCAAGCACCTCTGAAAAGATGCATCTTCTCAACAAGTCACAAGTTACCACTCTGTACACTCTGGCTCAGAAATTCCCATTGAATGGATTGCTCTCTTACAGGTTATATTTCAAACTAGAGGCCAGTGCACAACATTTGTTGTGGACGGGAGGAGAGAAAGGAAGGGGGTGTCTCTCAGCCCAGGCTGCATCCTCTCCAATCTGGAACCTATTGGGGGATGTCCGACTTCTGGTTTAGGCCTGATCTTGGGAATTGGGCCTAAAGCAACAGTTGGACATCCCTCTTACAACCCAGGACTGCTAACTCCCAACCGCTCACCTGCCTGCCTGACTGATTGCCCCTAACTGCTTCTGTCTTCCAGCCTGGTTACCCCCTAACCACTCCCCTGCCAACCAGATCGAAACCTAACTGCTCCCCTATTGGCCCAATTGCTCTCAACTGCCCTCCCTTGCAGGCCTGGTCACCCCAACTGCCCTCTCCTGCCAGCCTAGCTGCCCCTAACTGCCTTCCCCTGCTGGCCTGGTCTCCCCTAATTCCCTCCCCTGCCAGCTTGGTCGCCCCTAACTTCCCTCCTCTGCTGGCCTGGTTGCCCACAATGCCCTCTCCTATAGGCCTGATCACCCACAACTTCCCTCCCCTGCAGGCCTGGTTCCCCCCAACTGACCTCCCTGCAGGCCTGGTCACCCCCAACTGCCCTCCCTCCCCTGCAGGCCCAGTTGCCTTCAACTGCTTTCCCCTGCTGGCCTGGTCCCTCCCAACTGCCCTCCTCTGCTGGCCTGATTGCCCACAACTGCCCTCTTGTGTCAGCCATCTTGTGGTGGCCATCTTGTGACCACATGGGGGTGGCCATATTGTGTGAGGGTATGACAGTCAATTTGCATATTACCTTTTTATTATATAGAATGTTTTAGAGGCAAATCCCTGTGGGCATAATTTCTTGTTAAAACTTGCCAATAGCATACCCCTGAAGAAGAGATCAAAAGTCCTACAAAATCATTTCCTGACTAGAGTGGTAATTCCAACACAATAGTCAGAAAATATCTTTCCTGTAGTTTAGCTGATTTAATTTTAGTCAGATGCTGAAAATTCTCGTGATTTCTTCTTCTTTTTTTTATAAAGGAAAAAGAACCCCAAACCAACGTCAGTGGTTAGGTTCCCCAAGCCAGCCTTCCAAACATTATTCAACCCCATCTGTATAAATGTAGTGAGAACATTACTTGAGACAAAGCAGCATGGGATGGGATAGATGGATATTTGGGAGGAAGGGGACAGTGAGAAGGGAAAGGACAATTCTGGTGAAAAAAAGGGAATCAGCCCGCATAGAGGCCTGGAGGGGGCTCCATCCTGACTCCATCCTGACCCAATGGGATGGTGAGCAGCTGAGGGGGGATGGGGCTGAGGTAGTAAGTACCAGGCCTTGAGGTAAGCAGGGGCCAAGCCCTGCAAGGCTCTAAGAAGGTCCCTATTAAAGAGATCCACCAAAAGTGCATGTGGAGAGTTGTGATCTCACCAAACCTTTGTTTCCTTATGTTTACCAGCCTGACCAAACCCATCATTAGCACACAAAGGCTACCAGCAAGAGGAGGGGCAAAAAGGAGTAGTAACTAAGTGCCTGTGGCATTA